GCTTTGAATGGATCAGCTCCTTCCTACATCCAGGCCTTGGTTAAACCATGTACTCCAGCACGTGCACTACGCTCGAGTCAGCCAATCGGCTTGCTGCTCCATCACTGCGAGTGGGACCCAGGAACCCCTCAAACATGCCTGTTAGCTATCCTGGCTCCTAAATGGTGGAATGAGCTTCCCATTGACATCAGGACAGCAGAAACTCTGCATATCTTCCGTTGCAAACTGAAAACGTTGTACTTTGGCAATTAAGTTATTCTAAAAAAAAGAAAGAAAAATAATACCTTTAAAGAGTTAGCTTAGGCCTTGTAACTGATTCAACAGCACTTATTATGGTATGACTTTCTTGAAGTGAATATATCTGCACTCCTTGTTTTTCCGTTTTTTAAGTCGCTTTGGATAAAAGCGTAGGCCAAATGAAATGTAAAAGTAAATACCCTACTGGTGAATGTCTGAAACTTCTGTGTGACGTAAAAACAGCGGTTGCTAAATGAGACAACTAAACGTCATCAGGCCAAACATTAGCTGCCTTTAGCTTAGCGGCGTTGTCAGTAAGTCATGCAACCTCTGGCTGTAGTTCCTCTCTAGCCTTACGTTAGCTTTTTACTTCTGGTGATTGCATTCTCGCTTAAAATAATCATAAATTGGTGTTAATATGTGGAGATTATCTTACTGAACAAAAATAGCAAATGTGTCAGCTAAATGCAAATGCAATGTAATGTGTGATCCACAGATCTTATTTTCTGCAACATTCTGTAACCCAAGGGAAAATGTATTTTGCTTTCTGTTGAGGGACCCTTGTGATGATAACTTTCAGGTCGGCCTACACTAATACATCATCCGTGCAGCACTCTATACAGAGCATATATCATCCATCACCTCTCCCATCTCTGTGAGGAAGCAGTCGATGTAGTCCCTGGGGAAGGACGGGTCAAAGCTCTCTCTGTGTTCCTTGATCTTCGTCTGTATGTAGTCAAGCAAATCTTGTGTCAGAGTGAAAATCCTCTGGTGGGGTCCAGGCAGTCGCTTCATCAGGCCGGGCAGGGTGTTGTACAGCTAAAGAGCACGGACACAAGAGGAAATTCAGTGTATACTCTATATACAGTATACAGTGCAAACAAGGCCTGTACACATTAGGCACAAAAAACACACGCACAAACACATGCATTTTTTAGTTGTAAGAGCGTAGGGGCTACCATGTTCAGTACCCAGGAGTAGTTGTTGGTTCAGTGCATTGCTCAAGGACGCCTCTGCAGTGACCAGGAGGTGAACTGGTACCTCTCCAGGTTACAGTCCAAAGTCCTACAGACTGAGGTCATTTTTGCACTATTGCCCACTCCTAAACAAAACTATGTCAGTTTTACATCTGCACATTTATTCCAGATCTCCTTTCACAGGAGACATTTTGATCACGGTAGAAAAGCAAAGCTGTCAATATTAATTTGAATGATAACACCACTTATATAAACACAGCGGTAGAGAGTACCTCAGTACATTTACTCAGGTAGTGTAATTGTTGAGGTACTAGCACATTCTTTAAATACTTTGATTATTTATATTATTCCTTTTATTTCATTTCAGAGTGAAATATTAAACTTTTTAATACACTATATTCATCTGAAAGCTCTAGTGTCCTTTCAGAACAACATTTCAAATCAATAAAATATAAATATTATCATATAAAAAAGGTGTTCAAAATTGTTCAAAATACTAATCATCAGTTAATGCAGTCAGAGTCCAATAATGTAATATAAATGATATATCAATCATGGGGGATATTAGCATTTTTTGGAACATTTTGCTGTACATTTGAAATCATACTTTTGTATTTTACTTTGGTTTTAATGCATGATTTGTTTCTGTTATGGAGTATTTTTTTACACGGTTGTATTGACACTCTTACTTACAGTAAAGGATCTGGTTACATCTTCCATCAACATTTTTGAGTCGGAGTTCATTATTAAAATTCAATGCCATTTTAATTCAGTAGTTCTGGAACCCTCTTCCAAATCAGTTTTAAAAACTTTATGAAAATGTATGGGGTTTGGCTGGGTAATTCCTCACAATACAAATGATGAATGTGTATGAATGAGTCTCACATGAGCCCATATTCCTCCCTCTAAGTACACCAGCTCGTTGAAGGTCTCCAGTATATACTGGTGCTGCTTGTCATCGTAGTCAAAGCGGTCCCCGAACACCAGGCAGCAGATGATGTTGGACACTGCGTTGTTTATCAAGGATTGTGCGTTAAAAGGCTTGCCTGATAAATAAAAGGGAAAATATGTATAAGACAGGACAAAAAGTCAAAACATAACAGTGTGATGAGAAGAAGTTATGACTTTGATCACTGAAACAATGCAGCGCATGGTCTAAGGTCCATGCTCCAAATGTGAAGAGAAATCACATGTCAAATATTGCATCATGGGCCGCCTTATAGCTAGGATGGTCGAGCTTGTGAAGGACCCGGGTACAAATCCGGCTCAGGACCATTTAATGCACTTCATCCCCTCTTTCTCCCCATTTCAAGTCTTTCTCTTCAATAAAGGCATTAGTTGCTCAAATAATTATTTTTAAAAATAAAAAAATATTGCATCATGATGAGAAAAAAGCATTGATGGTTTATTTTTAAATAAGATCCGTGCCTTTGTGAAGGGTGAACGCCTCAGAGAGAAAGTGGCTCTCCTGCTGGATGGACGGCTCCAGGGACATCTTCCCCACACCAAAGTTTCTGAGGGTCCGGATAGCAAATCTCCGCTGCTGCCTCCAAGGATGTCCGTTTGATAACAACAAACCTTTTGGAAACAGAATAAAGCATTAGATATGAACATAATTGGAATTGGACAGAACTAGCAGCTAATGCTAAACTAAATTCACTATGCTCATGTGTCTGATACAGTGTCAGACTGTCAGATAAGGCTGGGCTAGGAATGAAATCAAATATTCTGATTAGGGCTGTCACCGTTAATGTGTTAACCCTTGCGACTAATCCGGAAACTACAACGCGTTAAAAAATTAATTGATGTTTGTTTATGTTTACTGTGCCACTTCCGGTGTTAAAGGGGCACGGTCCGTGGGAAACTAGCCTTGCTAGGAACCATTCATTTTTTGTTTCATTTCTGGTTTGTGTGGTTTTTTATTTTCTATAGTTATTACGATGTCCAAAATGTAGGAAGTTATCTAGGCTCATATTACTTTATCAATATAATAGCGATATATTACCCAGCCCTAGTGTCAGTCTTATGCCAATACCCATTCAAATGCAACATACAGTACCATTATTCCCAGCTAATGCACTAAACAATGGTATCGTCGGGCGGTCCTCGTAGTCCTCTCCTTTCTGGATAAGGACCTCTCTCACCAGCTCGTAGTCATAGACGAACACAATTCTCCCACCAAAGAGCCGCAGGCTGAAAATCTTTCCATATTTTTCTGCAAACTGAACACAGAGAGCACACTGGTGTTCAGGATCACTGAGCAGACAACACACAAATCATTCCAGCTTTGGAGGTTTATATATGTAGAAGGATTCAATATCAATAAATGTATAACCTTTATTTACATTGAAGTACCGGTATATCAATAATACAATAATAATACAAAATGTAATCAACAAGTAACCTATGATGTACTATAATCTGACATAATCCAGGGGGGGATTCACAAAGTACCCAGTGGTATTAAAAGTAGTTCACATAAAGTACTAAATCCTTACTTAGAAGCCCGAAATTGATTGAATTTACACTTAAAAAATCATAAAGTGGCGTAAATATGTGGAGATCATCCTGCTGAGCAAACGTGTTAAGTATCATAAACGTTTTTTGCCACAGAGCTTTTTTTCTGCAGTATTCCCAAATCCGATGGAAAAATACCATTGCTCGTAGTCAAGGTAACACTTGCGATGCCAATTTATGGGTCGGCCTAAAAAAATACATCATCACTGCACTGATCTATTAGCTCCACCTTTGGCAGCTGCAACTTTAAAGTGATGAACACATCACACACACAAATCGATAATTATAATCAGTAATGTAATATAGAACGGGGGGACATTGCACATTGCAAATTGAGTTCTATTGCGTTTGGTGCTTTCAGTATATTTTAATATGAATACTGTTTTCATTTGACTATGAACACAGGACTTTAAGATTCTGTTTTGGAATACCAACATCATGTCAAAGCAGAGAGATACAGCCATCACCTCCACATATTCCCAACTTTTAATTTTATATAATATATACAGTACTTACACCTGTCACAATTTGTCATGAACAATTTGTTATTCCCTTTCTCACCTCCTGACCATTATATCTGATGAAATACTTGTCTTCAATTAAATACTAGAGCAATTCAGGGTTAACTTCACTGTAGTAGACATAACCAGTGTTGGGAAAGTTACTTCCAAAATGTAATATAGTACATATTTCTTATTACTTAAGTAATAAGTTACATTACAATATTACTGTCTCTGAAATTTAATGAGTTACACTACTTTTATATGACTTTTGAGTTACTTTACCAAAATAACCTCAAAAGAATGGCTAGGTATTTTAAATACTAAAATGTACTTTAGTGCAGCTCATTATACATCCAGTGAAGGGCAATGTGGTATAGCATAACAACTGTGTAGGACAGGCCATTAAGGCTACAAACAACTGTTATTACTTGGCATAGTTGAATACTCGATTCTGATTGTAAATTCATAAGATGTGACATGTTGTTAATACAGTAGTACAGACCACTGTCGAGGACTATAATGAGGATCAAGAAAGGTTAAAAGACGGCGCGCTGGACAATCCGTGTATCTACCGTCCAATTGTTTTTCTTTATTAAATACGTAAACGGAAGAGCGTCTTTTTGCCTTTTGCTTTTTACCTTACTAAATGGTGAAATGGTCCTTGGAGCGAGGGGCGGGGTGAAACTCACAGAAGTGATTTCAAAACAAAAAGCACTCATTTTCTTGGAACGGTGATAATATTATAAACAAGGGGAAAGGTTCACAAGACCTCATGAAAGACGACACACGAAGTGAAGATACCCGGCCCGGAAGAAGCCCGGTGTCCCCTTCTGGAGCCAGGCCCAGAAGGAGGACTCGTCGGCGAGCGTCTGGTGGCCGGGCTTGCCACGAAGCCTGGCCGGGCACAGCCCGAAAAGGCAACGTGGGCAACACCTCCGCTTCTCCGTCC